AATTGAAAATCTACCATCACTACACAAGCTTGCCTTTTCATTTTTGAACAGATCATAAAACACATAACACCATCCAGACCCTAGTCCGGCAAACAGTTCAAATGCTAATTTTTTAAAATAGCTTTTACATGCAATTGTGCTCTTTTCAATAAAACAAAGATTTGTTTATAGCTACAATTTAATTAAGAGTCCTTTCGAAGAGGAAGATCTGGAAAAAAGGGATTTTTTTTTTTTCTGCCAGGGTTGTTTGTTTATTGGTTTAATTTTCCCTGAAGTAAAAATACACTTTGAAATGTAACATGTCATTATGTAATTTGTAGTAACAAAGTGCAGGCCCTTGCACACGACAGCAAACAGGGCTGCTCCAGCTCACAGACAGTCCCCACATCCATTCCCCTCTCCTCATCTGATTAACAGGCTGTGTAAACATCCAGCCAACCAGAACCCCGGCCAGTGCAGTTTGGTCAGCCATAAAACTGCCAGCCAAACACAGACGTGGGGGTTTTATGCAGAAATCTTAATTTGAGGGAAATGATCAAAACCAAGACAACATGGCCCCAGTGGAGATGGAGAAGGGCTGACCTATATTTTCATTAATCCCTCCCTCCCTCCCCCCTGAACCAGTGAAGGATGAGATCACCACCAAGGGTGAAATGCTGAATATCATACCCCTGAGATGCAGGCTTGTGGAGGGAGTTGAGTCAGAAACCAAATCCCCTAACAGGACATCTAGGAGAGGAAACATAAGCTTCTGTTTCAAGGAGAAATTTTAAATTGTCTGGGTTGTTTGGAAAAGGTCCGACTTTGATATACCCAGGATGGGTTCATTCCATCAGCATGCCTTCTGTTGGTACAAGAATAGCGAGTATGTGTCCCGATTGCACAGACATTAATGAAATTTATACAAAGGAGGGAGGAGGTTGACTTTTTTCTTCCCACGATTCTCATTGCTCTTGGTAAAAGACTTTAGACCCTTCACAAAATGGGAAAATTTAAATGTTCAATGTAAATAATAGTAATAATAATTAGCAAGAAAATTATTCAATTTTTTAGAATACTCTCACAAGATGGCTAACTTTTTTTTTTTGGCTTAAGAATGTATTTCATATCTCTTGAGGCTATATGACACTCTTTTATAGAATTTTTGAGTCTTTTAAAAAATCTTCTTGAAAAATATGCTGGTAGCAATGGGAGTAATAGAATTAACTACAACTACGAAAAACATCTATTTCTGCTTTATTGACTATGCCAAAGCCTTTGACTGCATGGATCACAATAAACTGTGGAATATTCTTCAAGAGATGGGAATACCAGACTACCTGTCCCACCTCTTGAGAAACCTATTTGCAGGTCAGGAAGCAACAGTTAGAACTGGACATGGAACAACAGACTGGTTCCAAATAGGAAAAGGAGTACGTCAAGGCTGTATATTGTCACCCTGCTTATTTAACTTNGATGCTGGGAGGGATTGGGGGCAGGAGGAGAAGGGGATGACAGAGGATGAGATGGCTGGATGGCATCACCGACTCGATGGGCATGAGTTTGTGTAAACTCCAGGAGTTGGTGATGGACAGGGAAGCCTGGCGTGCTGCAATTCATGGGGTCACAAATAGTCGGACACGACTGAGTGACTGAACTGAACTGAAGACACATGGGCTTCCCAGGTGGCTCTGTGGTAAAAATCTGCCTATGATTACAAGAGACATAGGAGATGTGGGTTCTATCCCTGGGTTGGGAAGATCCCCTGGAGGAGGAAATGGCAACCCACTCAAATGTTCTTGCTGGAAAATGCCATGGACAGAGGAGCCTGGCGGGCTAAAGTCCATGGGGTCGTGAAGAGCAGGACACGACTGAGCACACATGGGACAGCAAGGCACGTTGACTTAGTCTAGCTCCTCTCCTTAGTAGCTCTTCAGTAGCTGGTTACTAACAGGAAACTGGGCTTCACAGCAATTGCTTATAATGTTCACCTTTGTTCTAGGCTCATTTCTTAATTTTTAACCTCTGTTTTGTTTGAAAAAAATATGGTCAGCCGTTTCATGATGCTCTCTAGAATTATCCATATCTTCTTTGTTGTATCTAATCATGCTCACAGATGTTCATTTTGCCTTTCATAAGAATCTCCATGTTTTATTCTGGTAGGTCTTAAGTTAAAGAAATAACTAAACACAATTTAAGTTCCAAGCAGAATGAGGAAACTTGTACACATGTTGAACTTTTTTCCCCAGGCCCTGGGCATACCCTTTCTATTTCACTTAATGCTCATGAAACCCTATGAATTGGGCATGAGTATTATACCCTTTATTAAGGAATCAGAAAAGTGAGATCCAAAGAGTCCCAGTGATTTGTCCCAAGGCACACAGCTAGTAAACAGCAGGGCTGGAGTCCTAGTAGTCCAGGTAGCCTAATTCTAGACCCAACTGACTTTGCCTCCTTGACGTGTCATCATTGCCTTAGTCAGGAGGCAGTTTTGTCTCAGATCGTTAGAGGCATTGGCAAGAGGCAGATGGGAAACTTTCCATGATGATTGCTCCTAGGTAGTGAGTAAGGTGCATGCTAAGTCGCTTCAGTAGGTTGGACTCTGTGTGACCCTAAGGACTGTAGTCTACCAGGCTCCTAAGTCCATGGGATTCTCCAGGTATGAATACTTGAGTGGGTTGCCCTGTGCTCCTCCCGGGGATCTTCCCAATCCAGGGATCAAACCCTCATCTCATGTCTCCTGCTCTGACAGGTGGATTCTTTACCACTAGCACCACCTGGGAAGCCCAAGTAAGTGAGGTAGCCTGGTGAATTGAAAGAGCATTAGTTTTCAAAGTTTGAAAGTCGTGATTCCATTTCAAGTTCACCACTGATTAGTTGTATCTTAGAAATGTTTACTCACATCTCTAAGCCTCTATTTCCTCACCTGTGAAAAGGAGAAAATTCTGCAAGATTTTAATGAAAGAACATTTTGTAAGGCTTAACACATTTCTATATGTTCCAGGTCTTCTTTTCTCCCTCCCAAGCTAATCTGTTTACATCACCTTGTGATAGGTTTTCATCACTATAACTTTACTAAACAATGTCTAAAATTCTGTCATCTGGGTGTAGTTTGATGGAAGGAATTAAGCATCTTAAAAAATTTTTAAGTTTAAAACTCCTTGGGTCATACTGAATTGCATGTGCTCTAATTCAGAAAAACAAGTTCGGTCTTCCATTCTAAGTACTGTTAAAAGGTAGGCACTTCTGTCTTCACAAACCAGCAAGATAATTTCTAACATTCAGAATTCAAGCATATTCATTTCAAAAGCATGTAGTCACTGCATCTGGGCAACTATTTAATCATAAAGTTGAAGAGCAGAGATGTCAAAGACACTTTCTCTGATGGAACATTTACAACTTGTGGTTGTTGGACCTTCTCTATCACAGTCTGCCTTCAACCAATTCTCTTTCCTTGTTGGAATGAGGGCAAATGAGCATAAACTCTGACATGAAGTACATCAGATAGCTTCCCAAAATACTCTTCCAAATCTGTGAGTTATTTAACCTTAATCTATCTTGAAAACCACAATAGATTTCCATCTTCTTGAGAAGAAAGCAAGCAAGTGGATATTCTAAATGATCTTTTCAGGCTTACATACCTCTTTCAAAACATTTCACAGTTTTCCCCACTTCATTCCTAACCCTACCTCCATCGGCCCCGTGAGTACTTGCATAGAGTAGGGCCTTAAATGCTTTTGATGATAAATGAGTTGTCAATGCACAGACAAATCCCCTTTTCCAAAGCCTCCTGGAGTAGAAGCATATTCTACTTCCTCCCAAAGACCCCAGAACTACCTGTGCACTGGCACGCACAGAAGAAAACTTTTATTCACAAATTTAAGCTACATTAATCTGCTGAAAGGAGGATAGATACTTAAATGGAGTTTCAAATAACCCTCGCCTTTGAGATCATCTGTGCTCACAGCCCAGTATTTGTACAAGATGAAATGATTTACAGAATCAAGCCTGGAAAAATTGGAGGGCAACTCCAAAAGGCAAGAACATGCTGCCGAGTCCATCACTCATCCTGCCAGGGAAACTTTTTGTAGTCTCCAAACTGTTATGAGACGCTGCTCTCTCTCCAGGACAGAGAAATCATCGAAAAGGCGGGAGGTGTGTTGGCTGCACAGCCGGAGTAAAGAACTGGAGTTCTTGGCAGGGCACTTCCACCTCAAAAGCAGACAGAGCCCTGGAAGGACTCTCACGTAAACAAAGCGGGGAGACAGCTTCAGCTCTGCAGCGAGGCTCATCCTTTCCCAGATCAAAGCCTGCGCCAGAGGGACAGCCCTACAGAACAGAGTGTCCTTTCTGGAACATCCAGCTCCAGGGGGGAGGCTTGAACTGGAGCCACAACCTTGCCACCTGTATCCAATGGCTTAGATGCAAAGGCTCTCAGAGGTTGGGGAGCCCACAGCTGCTCCAATGACAGAAGATCAACAGAAAGATAAGACAAGGCAAGCAAGAGGAGTTCCTACCTTGCAAGCTCAGATCAGCTACTCTGAGAAAAACAAAATGCATCCAGCCAACCCCAGCTCTCTCTAGAGTGTAGAAAGGGGGTGGATCAGTACAGACTCGTGGCTGAGCTGTTTGCCTGTCTCTCTACTCTGCTACTTACTAACTGGGTGAGCTGGACAGGCTACTGGATGTTTCTATACCTTGGTTTCCTCACCTGCAAAATGAACCTAATAGTTAGTACCTGCTTCACAGGCTTTAATGAATGACTGGTACAGAAGAAAACTCTTAAAATGTTGCAATGATCATTTGAAAGTCCCACGGTCCTTCGTTTGAACAAGTTCTGCTAACTGGTAGTTTTGTGAACTTGGAGAAACAACAACATGGGATGACTTCCCCCATCTGTAAAATGGAATTTCACCCAACCCTGGTGGGGTTGCCATGGAGATTTGACTTTATATGTCACAGAGTAGGAATTCAGTAAATGCCACCTCTGTTTATTATCATTTTTCCTGACTTCAAAAGGAGAAAGCCCACAGGACTGGTCAAATGGGAAGAGATACAGTTAGTAAAACTGAGAATCCTCTTAAACCCCCAAAACTTCATCCATATGCAAAAGAGATACATCCCTGGGGATGATTGGGTCCTGGTGTTTTAAATACACAGCTAATTATATTTTAAGAGAGAAGAGGGAACCTGGAAGTATTCCCAAATTTAACATCTGCAAGCAGAGAGGATGACGAAATGCATTAGTACTGAGGAATAACTTTCTCCCATCTTCTCAGAAAACATCTGGGGTATTACCCTCCCCTCTACTCATTCCCTCACCTCCCACCCCAAAGCTGACTCTTGGCTGACAGTTTATCAGAGATAAATGGAAACACCTGGGAACCAGAGAAGGCCAACTCAACGTGATCAGCTGAGGAGACCTTGGGAACTCATGCCACTCAATATTTCTCTTTCCACACCAGGCGGGGCTAGGAGTACCATCTAGCCTGTGACGGATGGCAAGGCTCACTTTCACATCCACTCTTTTCTTCATTCATTCCAAACAACCTCAAGAGGTCAGCTGGCCCAGGTTCCTGCCTGAGGTAAGTCAACACTGAAACCGTCATGTAACTTAGATGGTTATTGAGCCCGCTTTTAACCGCTTCCACCAAAAGACTTTCAGGACTAACTGTATTTGTTCCAATTTTTAATCACTTTTTCCTTTATCAAACCAAACCCATTCCAGCTAAAATTTCTCATTCCTAAGGAGATACAAGACCTAACATTGTCTTTTGTACCCTGTGGTCAGGCAAAAAAAAAAAAAAAATTGCCATTCCACTGTAATAACCTCCTCAACTTGAAAACTTTAAATCTCCTTTTCTTCCCATGTCCATGCATTATCCCAACCTATTCTGTCTCTTTTAACCTTTCTTCAAAGGCCTTACTTGCCTTTCCTTTAATTAGCATGTTCCTTTTCTCTCAACTCATTCCAGCTTCTACACATTATTTAGAGACCAAAACTTAACAGCAGATCTAGCTGTTATTATAGTGAGATAATTTCAGTGTGTGTTTCCACACACCCACTACCTGGATGTATGATCCCCATACAAGTTATATAACATTCCTGGGCCTCAGTTTCCTTAGCTACAGAGTTGTTTCAACCATAAAGAACAAGATCTCTGAGCAGGTCAATAGGAAGACGTACCAGCAGCCAATGGAGACATTTTAAAAGAATTAAATTTAGAGAGACACATCAGAATTAGCTAATTTTAGCCATAAGAATTAGCTGGTTGAAGAGCAGAAGAGAGCAATCCTACCAGATGGAACTGCGTGTGCAAAGGTCCTGGGACCCAAACTCCTGGATCAATATAGCTAGATATCAGAGAACAAGGGGAAGAGGATTGGAAATGAGGCTGGTGAAGGAGGTATGGGCCATTAACATTATAATCCTTTTAAGCCATGGTGAGGACTTTAGTCTTTATTCTAAAGGCACTGGGAAGGTGATACAGTTATAAACATATTGGTTTATTTTTGTGGAATACTGACCACAGAATGGATTGGACACAGAGTCGACCTGGGGAGAATAGAAGGGTCTGGAGGTAATCCAGGAATGGGACTGTGAGAACTTGGACTGTGGTGGCAGCTGTGAAGATGAAGAGACATGGTTCGAGTTGGAAATGAGAGTCAGCAACCCTTCCTGATCCAATGAACATGGTGGGAAGGGAGAAAGAGGTGTCAGGGATGGCTGCCAACTGTCTGGCTCACTCGTCTTTGGAAGTAGGCACTATTTACTGAGGGGATGCTGGAGGAGGAAGGAGTTTGAGGGGAAAGCTATGAGTTCAGTTTTGGGACATGCTGAGCTTGAAGCACTGTGAGATGGCCAAGTTGAGATGTTGAAGAGGCAACTGGATTTATGATTGGGAGCTCTGAGGACAGTCTAGCCTGGAGATATAAATTTAAGAGTCATCAACGTATAGATAATAATTAAAACCATAAGCATGGACGAGATTACAGAGGGAGGGTGTAGAATGTGAAGGAGAAGAGAGCCTTGCAATTTTCCAATATTTAATAGCTCAGAGGAAGAAGATGAGCCAGGAAAAAGACTGAAGAGAAGCCCCAGAGGTAGAAGAAAATTAGGAGAGTGTTAGGTCATGGAATTCAAAGGAGGAGGTGTTTTGAAAAGAGAGTGTCAACAGTGAGGCTGTTACATAGGCTTATCCTAATGACCTAGTCCAGGTGACATTCCTATTGAATTTTCATGTTTGTGTGCAGCCCTGGGTTTTTCCAGCTTGGAATTTTGCCATCATCCTATGCACACTATGACTTACTGATGGTTGTTGTGACCAAACTTTCTACCTAACATGATTAGTATAAGAACACTGGGTTACATCTCATTTGTCCAGATGCCTTGGCAATCCAGAATGCAGTCAAGAATTAAGAAGGAAAAAATAATCTGAAAAACTCAATGATTATTCAAAAGTCTGGTTACTAGTATTTATGCATTTACTAATAAGAGCCCTTATTTAGCTCTCCTGGGTAAAACCTTTCTTTTGTAAGTTTTAAAAAAGTTGATATTTGGTTTCTCAATCCACAATAAAATGGAAAAAGCCTTGAGGGGAGGGGCTCGGGTGGAGGAAGATCTCAGAGGCTACAGAAGCTGTTACAGTATTATTACTGGTTATTAGAAAGTAGATTAAAACCTACCCAAAGTAGGCAACCGAACAAAAACATAGAAATCAGAATCTATTTAGCAGGATAAATATATTCTATACCTTAGTCATCTTTGGGGAAAATATCACAGTATATTGCCTGACAAAAACATAGTAACCAAACAAATTTTAAATAAATGTTTGCTATGTTAAAATAGAACAAAAAGGCTTAGCATGTGATTTTTCATGGTTTTCTGTCCCTTGTATTTTCTATACACTGGTAGTGAGAGCTGGGGGCTTAGGGATTCCAGTATAATTTTTTGGTAGGAGTATATCATAGGAAGTGATGTGAATATCAGATTATTCTGAGATGTTAGGACATACTGGTGGCTTCAAGTCCCATCAGTTTTTTCATCTATTATAAAGTTTCCAATTGGACTTTAACCCAGTGGGTTCACAGCCATTGATTATCACTGCCTAGATTTATTATATTGTTGTTGTTTTTCAGTCACTAAGTTGTGTCAGACGTTTTGTGACCTCATGGACTGCAGCATGCCAGGCTTCCCTGTCCTTCACTATCTCCCTGAGTTTGCTCAAACTCGTGTCCATTGAGTTAGTGATGCCATCCAGTCATCTCATCCTCTGTTGTCCCCTTCTCCTCTTGTCCTCAATCTTTCCCAGCATCAGGGTCTTTTCCAATGAGTTGGCTCTTTGGTTGGTTCACATCAAGTGACCAAAGTATTGGAGCTTCAGCATCAGTCTTACCAATGACTATTCAAGTTTGGTTTCCTTTAGGATTCACTGGTTTGATCTCCTTGTTGTCCAAGGGACTCTGAAGAGTCTTCTCCAGCACCACCAATCCAAAAGCATCAATTCTTCAGCACTCAGCCTTCTTTATGGGCTTCCCAGGTGGTGCTAGTGGTAAAGAACCTGCCTGCCAGTGCAGGAGACATCAGAGATACAGGTTCGATCTCTGGGTTGGGAAGATCCTCTGGAGGAGGGCATGGCAACCCACTCCAATATTCTTGCCTAGAGAATCCCAAGGACTGAGGAGCCCAGTAGGCTACAGTCCACAGGATCACACAGAGTTGGACACAACTGAAGTGACTTAGCATGAAATTATTTCATTAGGAGCTGAAAAAACCAACTGGTGAACTCTACAGCAGACACAACAGTTTCTTCAACAAATTGCTAGGAGAAAAGGCAAGGGGAAGTCTACAGAATACGAGAGACTTATGACAGACAATAACCAAACGCAGTGTGGAGGCTTTGTCCTGTTTGTTTCTTTGCTGTGCTTAGTCACTCATTCATATCTGACTGTTTGCAACCCCATGGACTGCAGCCTGCCAGGCTTCCCTGGTAGCTCAGCTGGTAAAGAATCTGCCTGCAATGCAGGAGACCCTGGTTCAATTCCTGGGCCAGGAAGATCCCCTGGAGAAGGGAGGCTTTGCCCTACTTATTGGCAAATAAACCTTTATGAGTCAACTAGGGAAGTATTAGCACTGACCCAAAACATGATTCAGTTAAGCAATTGTTATTTTCAGGTAAGACAATGGGATTGTAATGGCATATTTTAAAAAGTCCTTATCTTACTGAGACAGTACTGAAATACTTGTGGATGAAATGATACGATGTCTGGGATTTGCTTCAAAATAATCCTGGTGATGGGGCCATGGGCCATGGAGATGCTGAGGAAGTTCTCCCTGGGGAGAGATGAGATAAGACGTTATTACAGCAGGATGGTGAGAGCCTGAGGTTCATGTGCCATGTACTCTACTCTCTGTAAATGCTTGAAATGTTCCTTTTAAAGAGCTTTAAAATAGAAAAAAAAAAAGTCATTCCTTTTCATCTTGTTGTTATGGAAGAGAATACTTCTAAAATGCTTTCTGTATCAACGTGGACAAAGCAGATTATTTGGAAATTCTGACAGTGAATACAAAGGGAAATCAGAAGAGAGGTGTCACCAAGTCTGAGAGCATGACTCTCGGTGCCTGAGTTATTGAAACACCAAATTGAAGCCAGGGTCGGGGAGGAAATCACTCCCCATCAGACGGTCAGAACTTCAGTACCTCAGCTAGAAACTAATTTCTAATTGAAGACACTCCTAGACTTCAGTTCAAGCTGCAAAACGCTATGAGCCTCAAACTCAGTTCCCTGTCTGAAAGGAGAGCTCCTGACCACCAAGTCTCCTAGTTTGAAACCTGAGGCTCATCCTTCTTCCTCCTTTGCTTCATGTTTCTCTGCTCCAGAGAACTCACTGTTTGTTTGCTGGCTCAATGGTAGCCATGAGGATCTGGGGCAGCTGGGCGTGGCCAGTTCAGGGAATCCCCAGCATCTGCTGAAGGCTTTTGCACCCTCCTTATCTGTATTTTCACTTATGCTCTTCCCTGAGTTCAAGAAGCTGATCCACCAAAATCTTACTCATCTTTTAAGGGCCATCTTAAATGTCACCAAATACACAGGCCTTTTCCCAACCTGCTCCTCAGAGCTAAGGGACCCTTCCTCAAATTCCTTCCAATTCTTTGCTTGTAGACCTTTTATAAAATAGTTGAGTTCCTAGAGCCCCAACTGGGCAGTTCATCCCTCAAGGGCCAGAATATGTCTCTACCTCTGTGACCATCCCCGGAGCCACACACCCTTTCCCCAGCCTTCCCTTCCTGTGCAGAGCCGCCCTTGGCCTTGCAACCCTCTTTGACCACTTGTCTCTGCCTTCCCATCTCCTCTGCCTCCTTCCTGCTACCTCTCCTTTTCCATATGGCCCATTCCCACGCTGCCTCTCTCTCCCCCTAAGCTGAGAAGTGCACGCATCAGGGAAGAGAAGGGTCGGTTTCACGCCAGGGTCTCAGCCGTATCTTCGGGTTTTCCTGCACCAGGCCATTTGGCTGGTGACTGCTGAACTGGATGAGAAATCTCAGCCCGACACAGGAGTCCTCAGGCTCCCACTGCCTCGTGTG